CCTTCCATACTCTAGAATGTGTGTGTGTGTGTTAGTTCCAGGGTCCAAGAGAGTGATTAAAATATGCAAGGAGGAAAGATGAGGTCCAGAACTGGACATTTGCTCGTCTATTGATCAAAGCAAAATATAAGACTAGTCCATACTCAAAGGATAGAATAAGGCAATTACCTACCTACCTACCTACCTACCTACCTACCTACCTACCTACCTACCTACCAATTTGAGCTATGATCTTGCTTTGTTGTCCAAACTGGCCTGGAACTTGCTAATGTAGGCCAGACTGGCCTCAAACTCGTGAGCCTCTTGGTCCTATCTCCTGAGAGCTTGGATTACAGGTATACACCAGCATCCCTGGTTTAGACATTACCTCTTGTCGAAATTTTTACTTCCAAGTAGGGGTGTTTTGCCTCATGTGTATGTCTGTTTACCACATGTATGCCTGGCATCTGTGGAAGCCAGAAGAGGGTGTCAGATACTCTGTAGCTGGGGTTATAGATGATTGTGAGTCGCCATGTTGGTGACTGGGAATTGAACCCAGGTCCTCTGGAAGGACAGCAAGTGCCCTTAACCACTGATCAATCCCTCTGGCCCATTAGATGTTAACTTTTTTTGAGACAGGGTTTCTCTGTGTAACAGCCCTGGCTGTCCTGGAACTCACTTTGTAGACTAGGTTAGCTTCAAACTCACAGAGATCCATCTCTGCCTCCCTAGATGTTAACTCTAACTTTTTTTTAAAAAAAAGAATTATTAGATTTTTAAAAAATATCAAACCAAGTTCCCACTCTCTCTCCTCCTCCCATTCCCTCCACACACCCTCCCACCCCACTCCCATCCACTCCTCAGAGAAGGTAAGGCATATTGCTTAGTGGAAGGTCCAAGGCCCTCCCTACTATATCTAGGCTGAGCAAGGTATCCATCCAAAGAGAATAGGTTCCCAAAAAGCCAGTACATACAGTAGGGATCAATCCTGGTGCCAGTGGATAGGCACCCCTGACCACATGAGGACTCCTTACCACACCAGTGGGAAAGACTGGGTCACTATTGTATATAAGATATCCCCTGAGACAGGGTTTCTCTGTCCTGGCTGTCCTGGAACTTGCTCTGTAGACCAGGCTAGTCTTGAACAGAGATCCACCTGCCTATGCCTCCTAAGTCCTGGTATTAAAGGCTTGTACCACCACTGCTTGGCCACTATTATATTCTTAACTTTACATACAAAGACTCAAGAGGTTAGGTAATAGCAACAACCCAAAGATGATGAATCAAGTCTACACGGAGCTGTGTTATCTCTTCTTGGGATGCAACTCACCCCAATTTACTCAGTTCTATTCTTTTTGGGTATAGTATTGTACTTTTAAGTTTTAGAAGCAAAAGTAGATTTTGGTCATATGCCATTGCCTTACTCAGTGGGTGGACTTTCTATAGTCTGAGTCCTAAGTGACAATGTACGATACACTTGGCCTGTCAATCCATGTTAGACAAATACCATAAGTAGTAAAGTTTTGCTGGGCCTGGTAGCAAAGTCTGTAATCCCAGCAACTCAAGAGGCTTGGGCAGCAGGATCACAAGTTAAAGGCTGGCCTGGGCTGTAAAGCAAGTTCAATGCTAGCCAAGGCAACTTAGGTGAGATACTGTTTGATTTTTCTAAAGAGTATTTGCGTGGTTACAGCTCAATGGAAGAGAATGTATACCTTTGGTAAGTCATAAAGATTTGGAGGTTATCAAAGCCTGTTCTGACTAATGCATTCTAATTTTTCTAGAGCTAGAGATTATTAATTTGTAAGAATTAATTAATAAAGTAAAATGCATGCAAAGTGCCTAGAACTTTCTGCCCCTCTCAGTCTGCTATTAAGGGACTCAGGAACTTTTGTATTTCTCTCACACAAAGATTCACTGTAGAAGATATATATCAGTGTTCTGTGCTCACTTATTTCTAATGCTGTGATATTGGGAGAGAGATTTTCATCCTTTTTTATATTCTTCAAGCCCATGAAAAAGCACTGTACTTGGCCTTGCTTGGCCATATAACCCTCCATCCTTGTACTGGAGGAAGTAAAACTGGAGGATAGTCACCTCTATCTCCAAGATCAGAAGAACAGGTTCCCAGTGGAAAAATTTGGATTTAATTTCCAAGAGAGGAAAGAATAACTGAGTAAGCAGAAACACATTAGTCAAATATACTAGGCACCTTTGACTAGATAATCCCTACTGTCTTATAATGGAAACAGTAAAACACTATCCATTCAGGAATGTTAAGTCAAAACACATTAGATTTTCAAACCTGCTTTTCTTTCTTGTTAGTTGTGTCTGAAGTTGGGTATAACTCAATGTGTTTGCTCATGTAAAGTGGGGATGAGTTTACTCTGCAGAGTTGTGTGAGGATTAGAGATAATTTTGTAGGGCTCAGCCCAACCATATGCTCAGTACAGGTTCTCAATACAGTAAGTTTTAAATGCCAAATATGAAAAATTTCTTGCTGTGGAATTCTAAGACTCCACACCCAAAGATGAAAGGCTGGGCAAAGACAGCTATAGCCACTATGATGCACCTATATAATACAAAGTATGTTGTAAATAACTTTCATTTAAAGTGTTTACAAGCTTTGACAGACCTCTAATCCTCCCCTTTAGGGTTGGCTATATCTTTTTCATAATTTGTACATTCAAGAGCCAGAGTGGTTAGTGGGGGCTAAGCCAGTGTCATTCAGCAGAAGTAGTAAGACTGCCCTAGAGTCTTGGCTTCAGATTCTGTTTCAAGACCTCTCTGTTCCTCAAAGATGACATAATGCTTTTTCCCCTCCAAAGTCCAATTTTACAGAAAGGTTTATTTTCATGTATATGAGTATTTTGCCTGCATGCACACCTATTGCCCATGGAGGTCAGAAGACACTGGATCCCTGAAACTGTAGTTATGAATAATTGTGAGCCGTGCCATGTGAGAACCAAACCTGGGTCCTCTGCAAGAGCAGTAAGTACTGTTAACTGCTAACCCATTGATCCAGCTCCCCAAATTCCAGTTTATTTTTTAAAACTAAATTTTAATTATGTGTGTATCTAGGTATGGCAAGTGAGTGAATGTGCCTACAGAGTCGGGAGAGTATAGGATCCGCTAGAGCTGGAGTTACAGGCAGTTCTGAGCTACCTTCCTGGGTGCTGGGATCCAAACCTGGGTCCTCTGAAAGAGCAACAAGTGCTCCTAACTCTCTGTGAGTCATTTCTCTCCAGCCTCGAAAACCAATTTAGTGAAAAAAATTATATGTATAGGTGTTTTGTGTGATGTATATCTGTCTACCACATGTGTGCCTGGGGAGGCCAGAAGAGGATATCAGATCCCCTGAAATTGGAATTACATATGATTGTGAGCTATCATCTAGGTTCGGGGAATCGAACCCAGGTCTTCTGGAAGAACAGCCAGGACTCTTAACCACTGAGCGATCTCTCCAGCCCCACAAAGCCCAGCTTAAAAACATAATTAAATGAATACTGTTTCCAAATGAACATTTACACTCAATCTTTGTCTTCTTTTTTCTTCTGTCTTCTTGTCAGCACATTTTCTTCTTCAAAAGTCTACAATCTGCAATGTAACAAAGAATATGTCCAAAAGTGTTTTGGTACCAGTAAGCAAAAAAGACAGCTGAGAGTCACTCTCCAACAAGACAACTGCACAGAAGACTGAGATCAGGTTAGATGCCAAGAAGCAGCAGAAACCAGCCAGGCTGCCTGGAAGAAGTTCAGACCAGAGGCACTTGGAGAGGACGCTCTCCAACCTGCTGAGTTGCCTGCAGTCTGTGCTGTGTGCTCCACATCCCCAGCTCTTGTGATCTGTCATCCCTCTTAGGATGGGCCTTTTTGAGCAATTTCTCCTCCTTGTAAGTAACCCCAATAAAACTCACTGGTTGGACCTTGGCGGTATCCATGCTTTGGTCTGCTGTGGAGTCCCTGTCTGGGGTGAGTGTGGGTTTCATCTCCCTAGGAAAAGTCTTGTCATACAATATGTATTACCAGCTTAATTAATGGGAAGTGAACTTTATTTTCACCACAGTGGAAGAGTGAAAGAAGTAAAGGAGACTAGAAAAGTAGTCAAGAGTCATCCAGATATTGAAGGAGCCATGGAAGTTTTTGTGCACTATATTAGATGGATATATTATTTTTTGTTTTGTTTTATTTAGATTTATTCATTTTATTTTGTGTGTGTTTTACCTGCATGCATGTCTGTGCACCAAATGCATGCTTGGTGGTACCTTTGGAGGTCAGAAGAAGGACTCAAATCCTCTGGAACAAAAATTAAAGATGGTTGTGAATTACTCACTATGCGGGTGCTGGGAACCAAACCCAGATCCTCTGCAAGAGCAGTAAGTGCTCTTACCCACTGAGCCACCTCTCCAAACCCAGGACATATTGTTCTGGAAGCTCATTAGCATGGTAGGTTAAATCATGGTCCTTAACTTTCTACTGCCATAGACCCTTTATAAACTTAAAAACAAAGATATAGGCCCTTTAAAGCAGAAAAAGGTACATTTGCTTAGATGAAAAACATTACTTACAATTATCTGGTTAGGAGGAAGAATGAGGAGCAATTGCAGCAGTCCAGGATGAAGGCTGGACTAAGTCACAGGACTGAGGACAGGAATGATGAGTTAAATAGCTGTGTGTTACCAAGAGATTTTGTCACAAATTAAACTTAAGAAATAAGGGAAAGACATGAGTCTGGGTTAACGTCCCACAGTCTAGTTTGGAGAGAAACAGACTTCAGAAGGAAGGATAGGTTTAGTTTGGAAAGTGTTGAGTCAAAGGTGCTTTGGGGACATCAGAATAAAAAAGTTAGCCAGAAAGCCAAATCTGATCTTCATCTCGATGTTTCATGTACATGTTCTCCTGCCCTGCTACTCTGCAGACTCGTAAATCTGCGTGGCACTTCTCAATTGAGACAAGAATATTCTTCATTTGCAGAAACGGACCCAGAGATGGGAGAAGAAATCAAAATTCACACACTCCAAATCATTTTACATTTTTAAACTAAAAGAATAGACTTTTATTAAGCGCTGTAAGTTTCTTTCCATCAGCATTAACAGAACAACAGATCAAATTCCATCACAGAACTCCTGAGACATTCTCATTCCTTTCTGAGACATTTCCATTAAGTCCTGCAGATTCCCCCAAGAAGCATCCACTCAAACTTACATTAATAAACTATGGAGCTTTTGTGGTGAGGTGGGCCAAAAGGCAGGGAACTTGGAATCTGGGAGTGGCAAAGAGAAAGACGTTATCCATCTACTAAACACACTGTCAAGAGCACAGGAAAAAAACAACAACGAAAGAATTTACTTTTGTCAATAACATCATTTATCAGGGAGCACTAAAAAAAAAAAAAACACTGACTTTTTGCAGTTAAAGTTTTTTTGTTTTTTTTTTGTTTTTTTTTTGTTTTTTAATCTAGTACGTTAGTCTAAAAATAGAATAAAATAAAAGGTAGAAGGAAAGTCCCTTCTGGGAAGTAATTAAAATGAATTCATAGATCCGGCAGGGTTATGAGAGATTAATAAAATCTGAAATATTTAACTTGCTTCATTTACATGAAAATTCACTAACCATTATTTACTACTAACAGACAAAAAAGTCATCTATAAAAGTACAGGGACAATGTCAAAAGCTGAAATGGGCACCCCAGCATAGGGGATGTTTAATTTTGCTTTTAACTTAGAAAAGATGATTTTTGTAAAAAGTGACATTTTCTTAGAACATCAAAATCTCCTCAGACAATACTGAAGATACTCAGCAATAGAAGGGGACAGGTGCACTGAGCTATCTGTACCAGCAGACTACATCAATAAGAAAGGAGAACATTCAAAAAGAAGAAGCCAGTGATGGAAAGGAGAAACATGAGAACATACAATGGAATCGTGAAAACTTACCCCTCAAAACCCCAAGAATATTTAGGAAATATGCATCTGAAAGTGAAGAAGTACAACGATTAACCCTTTAGTAGAATTAGACTAACTACTTTAAACTGCCGTCTACTTGTACTGTCATTTCAAAGGGTGGGTGGGGTGGTTAGAGGCTGAAAGGGTGGCACTGTATACCCACAGGGGCCTTCTAAGGTTTCAAAGGGCTGAATCATCATACCCAAAGGGCTACTCTCATTCTTTCTATCCTACATAAACATTTTTGCATCCCCTCCCCCTAATACCTTGTCTATTTCTTTTTTTTTCCGAGATGAACATATTAGGGTAACTTGGCCAACGATGTTAGAAAATCCAGATGGAAACAAAAATCAAGTGTCCCTAGCCAAAGAAAGTGCCATTTCTTGGGCTTCAATTTACCTGAAATCCTACCTATATACAATGAAAATGATGAGAAGGAACAGAAGTCTGTCAGAACTGGTCACTTAGAAAAGGTAGGAGTCACAGGCCGACCCAAAGACACAGGCAGAACCGCAAGACCTTGGGGGATCAGTGGCTGTACAAAACCAGGTTTGGGGTTGTTTTTGTTTTTGCTGTGTTCCTATGAGGTAAAGCAGTCATTTTGGGGGTTCCAACATGACTTTGTCCAGTAATAATCAGAAGGAGATCCTCGAGTGGGTCCAGCAAAGGTCCTCCATTTGTCTTCCAATTAGAAAAAGCTTATTTCCCAGTAACGAACCCTGGTTTTCCTGGCTTTTAAATGGTGCATTTTGGGAGGTACACCAAAATCTAGGAACATAACCCTTTATAAGTTCTTTCTTGTAACTTCCCAAACTCCAAATGCTAAATCGAGGCAAAATTCAAAGTTGAAAGTAAGCCACTTGTTTCATCCCTGGGTCTGGCTAGGGAGAAGCAGAGGTTTGTGGAGGGGGGGGGGAGGGCAAGTCTTTTGGCAAACTGGAATCATTTCTGTCAAAGCAGCAATTTTACCTCTCACAGTGAATGGCTACAAAATAAATCTTCATGTTGTGAGAAGGATGAGAGAGTTAACAATACTGTCACCTGACTGTGTCATATAGACTCACGATGCACAGAAACAGCAACTGAAGAACACTACCATTTTACTCCAAGTACTTCCTACTCAATATTTGTCCATATAGCTAACCATTCACTCACTCGGTGATTCTGGTTACTTTTAGAGCTCCAAAGGGATTCATCCTTCTGTGGCTCAGAAGGTGATTCTAAGCCATCTACATTTTCTATGAATTCCTTTCCTTACTGGATATAAAAGTCCTAACTTTCAAAGTATTGTGAAAGGATGAGCAGGTCCAAGATCAGAAAGGGGACCAAATCAGGGGAGCTCATTTCAACAAGGAAGTGTTAAATACTTTTTTTTTTTTTTTGCTTATATACAGCCAGGTACATAGTCTTGCCACCTTAATTAGGTTTATTTAGGAAATGTCTGGGCAAGAGGCAAGGCATACCTGGGCTACTGTCCCCTGAAAGCTGTGAGTTCTCTTAAACTGGACTAGACTCGGGTTAAGAATCCCAAGACATTTTAGTTTCTTGAGACAGAATGGACAGATAGCAAACATAGCCTTCTGGTTGTTTGGGAAAAAAATCACCAAGGATCTGTTGTAGATTAAGATGCATGGTTTTTTTTTTCCCAAAAGAGAGAATCCTGCTAGGAGTCTAGTCAGTTATATTCTTGTAGAAATGATATTTCTTGGGCAAGAATATCAAAGTCCAAAAGGAGATGTGTGTGGCTAGAAGCCTCAATTCCTGAATGAAGATATACTACTAGTTTGTTATAAGCCATGTTTTCATCCCTTGCATTTTGGCTGCCCAAAATGAGGGAAGCTGGAAATCAAGGTTTTCTTAAGATTATCTCCAGCAAGGAGGAAGAGCCTTTTTTTTTTTTTTATCCTGGGCAGACCTTGGCCCCAAAGGGACTGAGAATCTTCTAAAGAATACCTCTCAAATCCCAGGCCAAGTTCTCTGACATCTTCCTTGCAAAGCAAATGAAAAGATCCTGTAGTTAAAATGTCAATGAATAAATGAAACAATCTAAGCATGTAAAATCAAATTGTCCAATCTCCTCACATCTCCCCACCCCATCATTCCAGTGCTAATTTTCCCTCCTTAGAGTCATGTCAATCAATTCTTGCTGAAGCCAATTTGATCCTGGAGTTCCACAAGAAATATCTTTCAAATTGGCTGAAAGCCCTTTCAAATGGTAATCACTTCCTATCCCTTTCTATCTCCAAACCTTCATAAAAATGTGCAACTCTTCCCAATCCCATTTCAACCTCCTGTTCTCAGCATATGGGATGTGAGGGCTCTGTTCAAAGTGAAGTATTTGTTGTTCTGAACAGGCGATCTCTGGAAAGGACTTTGTGTCTGATTTAGAGTAGCCTATCTTCTCAGAATTGTGATAGGCTGTGACTTAGCAAGGATTTCAGATTTGAAGTATGGTCTTTTGAAACCCACCATTCCATAGCAGTGGAAGCATTTCTGGGAAATTCAGTAAATCTTCTGGAACTTTACCATGTATGTATGTGTATATATATCTGTATACACACATTTCTATATATAAAATATGTATAGATAAATAGATCTGTCTCTTATATAAAGGGTATGTGTATGCATATAGATACACATGTTCATATATACACCCACACACACGCCTATACACATGTACACACACATAGAGTCTTTTGAGTCCCTTTTGTACTCAGTTTCATAACATTGATTCCCACCCTTTTAGAGTGTGGGCAGCAGATAGTGGGTGAACTGCACCATATCTTCTACTTTATAAACAATGCACTGGTTGGGAGGCAGGAAAAATCTGCCCAGTACTTTTCTGACTCACTTGAATCTCCCAGTACAAAGGCCATTGTAGTTTTTTTAAGTGTATAAAATAAAAAAATTAAATAAAATAACCCAAACCAACACTGTCTACTTCCCTGAAAACATCTACCTATCTGATTGTCAGGCCAAAGCTAGAGGTGGTACACAAAATCCTGGGTGGGTTAGTTGGGGGAAAGAGAAGGGAGGACACTGACTAGGTATCTAGGTATCAAGGTTCCATTACCTTAAAGACAAAAAAAAATTGAGGAAGCCATAGATAGCTTACCTTTAAACCCCTTATTTTCATTGACATTTATAAATGAGTATTATATTAAATACTCAGAAAACCAAAGCCAGAACTTTTCCATAGGACTTACAAGATAACATCTGCTTCCTGACAGTTACTGCCTCACCAGACTTCCAGGATATAGAAGGAAAATGTTGGTGCTATGTATTTGAGAATCTGAGTTTAGTGTTGCTGCTATTGATCTTTAACCAGAAATCTCCAAGGTTCTAAGTCTGGAGCCAGAGAAGATAGGGAAGGAAAGATGGACACAATAAATGTGTATCCCCTTAAAATCCTGGATAAACCTAGGGGAAACATTTATATCCTCCTCTAACTTGGGCCTAGAATCAGAAAAGTATAGTTTTCTCCTCTTCCTGACAAGTGAAGCTATCTTCAGTTTGTCATTCCTCTTTCTCTTGGGCCACAGTCTCTTTCTCTTTCTCTTGCTCTTTCTCTTTCTCTTGCTCTTGCTCTTGCTCTTGCACCTGGCTCTTCTCTCCATTCTTCACGGGGAGGCAGTGGTCATCATTATTACACACGTTACTGTCTTTGGATAAGGCACATTGTGATGGAGCTGGAAGATGATCACTCTTCTCTTCCATAATCAATGTGCTATTGTTTCCATTCACCTGGGAGCGGGCCCGACCTTGATGAAGCTCCAGGGATTTAGAAATTCCATCTGAAGAGCCCTGTTAAAAACAAGAGGTACTTGGTGGAAATGGTAATCCCAAACTGGCTGGGCTTCCCCAAGTATGTTCATAAGGTAGCCTGAGAAATTCTTCAGAAACATCAGAAAGCCCAAAGGTCATACATTCTGATATTGTCCTAAGAACTGCAATGATGACACAATGCCTACCACTCGCATAGCTTTAAAGCATATTTTTCTAATACTAAGAGTGACTGAAATAGCATATATTATCATGCCCCATTTACTGAGGAGGAAGCAGAGGCACAGGAAAGTTAAAATAACTTGCTGAAGATAGAGAGTAGTGGAGCCACAAGTCTATTTTAGGTGGGTCAGCCTCTACATGCTCAACCGTCAGACAACACTGGCAAAATACTGATAATCAGAAGAGCAAATTACAAGCAAAGGGGAAAAAATCAATAGGGAAAAATCAGAAGACCTACTGCAGTATCTCACGGTTTTATAACAGATACTCTCTGCTCTTGGAAATGACATGAGTCCGCAGCAAGTGCTGACTTTCCGTGACTACTAGGAATAGTGACATTACTAGCAAGAGTGCCTACTATGTAGTTAGGCAGCTCACATATTCTGGTGTTCATTTTATAAATAAGACAGCAGAACTCAAACAAAGCAAACGGATGTACCAAAGGTCCCTTGCATGCCTAGACCTTTTTACTCTAATGGCCTCACTATTTAAAATGAGATATAATAAATGTTCATGGGTGTTGAATTTTGGTCAATTATGAATAACAATTTTTACTAACTGCTTCCTATATTCCAGGGTCTATGTAAAATTCTTTGCAGATATCATCTTATTTAATTCTTGTAATCCTATAATTTTCTCATTTTGCAAATCAGGAAATACAGAACAATTTGCCCAAGATTACAGAACTGAAAGGGCAGAACTGGGTGTAAAACTAAATCACTTGGCTCCAAAGTCTGTACAACACAGTGTTTGATCACAGACCCTATAGATGCCTTCCCCCACCCCACCCCTAAAAATTAGGCCATAACCCCCTGCAGCTCTCCTTTGGAGTATAATTGAGAAAGCATGCTGGGCTGTGGCCTTGAGGCTCCTTCCCTGGCATCTGGAACATAAGATTATGATCCTATCTGTAGGCCAGACCAAGTTAGGTCACTGGTATGAAAGAAGCTTGCCTACACTCGTGAAAACACTCTAAGAATCAGAAACCCCTTTTGTTCTCCAGTTTTGAAAGGACACCCCCTACCCCCGTCTCTGTCTCCCTCCCTGTTTTCAAGGCTCTATTATGGCTGCCTTTCGCCAGGATGGTATGTCTCCTAATAAAACTACTCTTTGAACCTGAAGTCCCATTCTCCCTTCCAGAGCCTCATTGTCTAATACAGTTCCTTTGAACAGGGATCTCATGTCGGCCCCTTTTCCAAGAACTTGCCATTTTTCAAGTAACAATACACAGGGACTGCTAGGAAGTGTTGCCTAAGAACCTGAAAATACAGTGGAATTAGTAAAAATTTACCCAGTAGGTGGAATATGTCATCAAATGGATTCAACAAAAAAATAATAGCATTATAAATATGTGACTTAAGGATTTAAAAGCATATAATAGCCAAAACCCTAGGAATAAACTTAGGAAGATAAAACTATAATATATGAGCATTATACAAGCTGGAACAATTAGTTACTGAAGGAATCATGAACATAACTGTTGTGGAATATTACTTTAGCTATGTAAAGAAGTGTTGCATTCTTTATGCTGCATTTGTTTAATTATGTAAAGATGTGTTGCTTTTGTTAATGTTGCATTTATTTTAACTATCTAAAGACATGCTGAATTTCCTTTACCTTGCTTGCCTAAGGCACCTGATTGATCTAATAGAAAGCTGAATGGCCAATAGGTAGGTAGTAGAGGGATAGGCAGGGCTGATGGGCAGAAAGGATAATTGCAGGAGGAGGAAGTTAGGCTCAGGAGGACAGAGAATAAGGTAAAAAGAACAGGAGATGCCTGGGGCCAGGCAGCCCAGCAGCGGCCAGCAGACACAGGAAGCAGGAAAGTAGGACATACGGAATGAAAGAAAGGTAAAAAGTCCAGAGACAAAATGTAGATGAAGACAAGTGGGTTAAATTAAGTTAAAAGAGCTGCTTAGAAATGAGTATAAGCTAAGGCCAAGCATGCATAACTAAGAAGTAGTCTCGGTGTCAGGATTTGGGGGCTGGCAGCCCAAGAAAGCCTGCTACACAGTACTAAAATGAAAAAGGAAAATCAGCAAGGCTGCCAAGATAGCCCACAGCAGGCGTGTCCAAGGAGGGTGAGTTAAGCAATAATAAAGATAATATAAGCATTTCCATGGTCAGGTTGCCTCTACAGAAGACAATAGTGAGCTAGAAGCTCCCCTGACACCCTTGTTTTCTCTCACTCTCCTCACACATGAAATAGAACAGTGTGTACTTCATATGTTCCCACAAAATTTAATGAGCTACTCCATGTAAAGCACTTAGAGTATATGCCTGGCATGCTCTAGAAACTCAATAAATGAGCTACATGGCAAGAGCCCATTTCAAACCTCTAGCCTCTATCTCCCTAAAGCAAACAAATGGAGAACTAAACAAATAGTAACTAGCTTCATTATTTCTGTTTTGTGCCTCCAAGCAAATCACTGATACTATGACTTTCCCTTAGAGAAAGCAAGTTCTGGTAATAATGGTTACCAGCGTGTGCACTTGAGTCAGCAAAATCTGCATTGGTTCTGACTCTGGCTCTAGCAATCAGAATTGTTCTGCTGCATTGGAATCCATACCATACAGGGCTTTGGAATCAGCTGGCGCAGGCTAGAAAGTCAATTCTGAAAACTTACTTGATTGATGGGTAATATACTAATATATCTCGTGGGAAATGTGAGTGGCAAAGAGTATGTCTGCAATGTGTCATCTTAAGTATTCTTTCTTATCAAAATCAGTACTTAGCTCTCATTCATTTGCCATTCACTCCAGATATATCCACATGGCTATTTCTGTGGTCTTGTTAATATGAGTCGATCACAGAGAGAGTAGTCTATTCTTTACATACTAAAAATAGCAGGTTTTCCACACTGCATCTTACTATACTCTAGATGTCTTCTTGGGTGACTAGCTTTCCATTTACAAGCAATACTTTCTATATTATTGATCAGTTTCTGGAGGAACTGAGAAACTTTAGAAGATTTCCAAAGTTACTGTTCTATAGTTTTGGAGTGCATTAGAAAATGCTTTGTGTGTAGGGGGAGGGGTGAGTATTCTAGTTTCATTTCTGGTTCAAAATAACACCAAACTAAACATTAAATAGTTGAATTTATTTATGGTATTTATTTCAAGACAGGGTCTCATTACATAACTCTGGCTGTTCTGGAACTCATTCTGTAGACTAGGCTGACCTTGAACTTACAGAGATCCACACGCCTCGGCTCTGACTTCCAAATTCTGGGATTAAAGGTGTGTGCCATTATGTCTGGCTAATAGTTGGATTTATTCTTGATGCAGGGAAGGATGACTGTATACAGGAGAATAGATTTTGGATTAATATCTGATGACATCCTGGCATGGCAACACAGGCGTCTAATACCAACAGCTGGGAGACAGAGGCAGGTGAATCTCTGTGAGGCCAGCCTGGTCTACACAGAGAGTTCTAGGCCAGCTAGGGTTACATGATGAGATCCTGTTTCAAAGAAAGAAAGAGAGAGGGGAGAGGAGAAAAGTGGAAAGTAACAAAGAAAGATAACTGATCTCTACGTCTAGTCTCCACATACATATGTATTATGCATTCAGACCTGGCACACATGTGCATACATACACACAAGTGAAAGCTGGTGGTATATCTCAGTGATAGAGTACTGGCCTACATGTATAAGGCCCTGGGTTCAATATCTAGGAACACACACACACACACACACACACAATGAGAGAGAGAGAGAGAGAGAGAGAGAGAGAGAGAGAGAGAGAGAGAGAGAGAGAGAGAGAAGCAGAATAGTAATGGTTCCCTCTCCCATAGGGCAAAAATCAAATTTTCTAAGCACTAGTATGAGCCCTCAGAGCTCAGACAGGCTCTAGACAATCTAGCTCTTAGTGTCATTCTGGTCCCTTCTGGCTGCACACAGCACATACTATACTAGGCACAGGTCGTCTGGACATTTGTACCTGCTTTCTATTGTGTGGCCTTTCATTCAGAAAAAAAAAAAAGGAAGAGACTCTGCAGCCCTGTGGGAGTAATTTGGAGCGACAAACCTGTACTGAGAAATGGGCACTGAAATCAAATGGCTGGAAAAGACATGATAACTCTCCAGGGTGGCTCAGCTTTCCATGCCTGATACAATCTCTTGTAATTTAGCCAGAAGGGGCAAAAGGTGTCAAAACAGCTTGATACTCTCAAAAGTGATACTTACTTGTTTATTTCCTTTTTTGTGGCCTCTGGATCCTCTACCAGTCTGTTCTTTTCCATGCCTTTAGCAAGAGGGAGAAAAGTGACAATGAGAACACATAAATTCTAATTTCTATCTTTACTTGATTAATTTACTCATCTCAAGGAAGTTTAGCCTTGTACATTTAGATGACTCTTTTTATTACCCCTATTGCAAGCCTCTATTCCTGTAATTTCTATGTTGTACTGAATTATTTTGTGTTCCTTGTCTTTTAGCACAAAAATTCTTTTTAGTCAAGCACGGCATTTGTTACACATTTGATAAACTAGAGTTATAGCTGATTTCAAGTATGTAGAGTTGATTCATACCTCTTACCTTAACAGGAGATTTTTAAGAGCTGAGCATTTTCCTAAAGGTACCTTGACTGACCCTAGCTCAAACTAACCCATTCAAGTACATACCCCTTTCCTGGCCCACCGACAGAAACCACTTGCATGCCAAAGGATCCTCGACTTCTAGAAGATCTGCTGCCAGCCCACTGGCCCACCACCATCCCAGCAATTTCCAGTTTTCCTCCTTGGGGTGGGATTGGATGGAGACCTAGGAATTGAAGAACAGCAGTGGTGAACAGCAAGCGCAAGATAGGGCGAGAGGTGGAACAAAAGCGCTGTACAGTCTCCCTGTTCTTCTCATCCCCGTTTCCTGCTAAGATTGTGATGATACCAAGGGGTGTAAGGTCACAGAAGGGGATTGTAGATCTTTCTACATGGCCACTTTAATAACTAGTGTGTAGTTGATTGATTTTTTTCAACTGTATAGCCTGCTACATAACAGGAATTTGTTTAGAAAAATGTTTTTTTTTTGCTGGCCCCAGATATTTTTTTTCATTTTTAAAATTCAGAATTTCCATACATGTATATGTGTTTTGATCAACTCCACCTCAATCCTGCCCACTGTAAATTGTCACCTGCCCTTCTCATCACTTTTCTCTCTCAACTTCACCTTAACCCAGGGCTGCCAGTATGTGCATGGGTGTAGGGTCAGCTACTGGAGCATGGGTGGCCTCCAAGGGGCCACAACCCTGAAGAAAACTGACTCTTGCTTCTCCAGTAGCTATTGGTTGCCAATAGCTACTCAGCTGGATGGACATCATGGCCTCTTCCCCAGCCCATGCTAGGATTTTTGCCTGGCTTGATCCTGTGAAGGTCTTGTACAAGCAATCATAGCCACTGTGAGTTCATGTGTGCAATGGTTCTGTCGTGTCCAGAAAACAATATTTCACAGCAGTCACCCACCTCTCAGAATCTTTCTTCCCCCCTTCCACAACGACCGGTAAGACTTGGGCAAGGGGATAACATGATATAAATGTCACATTTAGGGCTGAGAACTGGGCATTGTTTTATTCTTTCACCTTAACCAGTTGTGAGTCTCTGTATTCACTTCTATCTACTGCAAATAGAAGTTTCTCTGATGAGGGTTGACAGATGTAAAAATAAGTACTTATGGATGCAAAGATAAGTACTTAGGGAGAGCCTACTGTATGTCCACTTGGAAGAATAACAGTAAGTAAATCCAATCAGAAAGTAGTTGGCTACTCCCACAACATTCCTGTCACTACTATATCAGTGGGCACATCTTGTCAAGCCAGTCATTATTTTGGCTGACAGGTTTACAGGGCTCATAGCTGAGTACGACTGCTGATTGTCCGCCCCCCCAGAAGAGTCCACAGCCTTCCAGCACTATGAAGATAGCTTAGTAGGGATGAAGCTTTCATGTTGGTACCAGCCTAATTTCTCCATGTTCTGACTCAAGTACGTGGTATGTTGAGGAAGGGTCTTACCATCCCGTGCTAGAGGATAACCAAAATCAGCAGCAATACCCTGCACTGTTCTGGGACTCCATGGGACCCCACTGACCAACAACATGTAAAGAAGTAAACCAAGTCTCGCAATGCATGTCTTGGTGTATGAGAATGCATTATTCCCCAATTATAGGGTAACTTCACTTAAAGTCTTTTTAGACATATATA